CGCCTCGAGACGAGCGACGCCAACACCTGCTGCGGGCCGCTGAACCCCTCCCCGGCCCCTCCCCCCAGGGGAGGAAGCAACCCCGCTCCCGAGCCAAGCGCCGCGTCCAACTGCGAGGCGCTCATGCTGTCGCTGGTGCCCATGTCCACGTCGTTGTCGGGCCACGCCGCGTGAAGGAGGCTACGCCATGGAAAGGGTGTAGCGGCGGAATGGACGAGAGGGAAGGAGGGAGGGAGGGAGGGAGGGAGGGAGGGAGAGCGCTCGAGGGTCTCGCTGAACCTTGAACCACTTCATGCCATTGGAGAAGGGCCAGCGGTATCGAGAACGAGAGCCCGTGCCGAGTCATGTACGCAACAGGGAAGGGGCAGCGGACTCGCAGGAACTAAAGCCAGACGGCAACCACCCTCAGCTTCCAACCATTACCTTCACCTTTATTTTAAAGCCCAAGGCACAAAAGAAAGAAGAAAAAACGTACAAGACGTGTGTGTGTGCAGCTGCCACCCCGAACGAACAAGAGGGAAACACCACCATCATAATTCGTCCACGTGCCCCTTTTCCCGCGCTCCACCATCACCATTATTGTTGACTGGAAGCTTGACAGCCGCAACCTCTTTGGGGGGGGGGGGAGCGCACGGTCAAACGCAACCACCACAAACACAACATCAACAACAACATAAAAAACGATGACGAGATTGTCAACAACAACCACCAACAACATTAACAACAACGGCATTTAGCAACACGACTCACCCGTGCGCCTCAAGAGCAACCCTTCCCGCCGCCTGCGTCCACGCCTCCGCTTCCCCGCACAGCGGGAGAGACGCCAGGACGGCGGCCGCTCGGTCTCGGATCACGTCACTGGGACCCTACAAAAACGATCGACCAATTGACAAAGGAGAAAATTCCCCGCAAAATTCCGATTCGGCGGAACAGCCAGCACGAAACCGCGGTCAATAAAGGGAGAATTGATTCACCAAAAAATACGCGGCGCTAACGCAGTGCAGTCGCGATTATCGTGGGTGGTTTCAATACATGAGCGGGACGTACGGTGAGGTTTGCACGGACGGGCAAAGAGAGACCAAGGCATCCAGAGAGCCTTGCGTGCGTGTCAAGCTGCGGATCTATCCAGAGCAGATAACGTTTTCCACTGCTGCTGCGGGTTTTCTACTTGGCCGGTGATTACAAGGCCGAAGTCGTCCTGCAAGCATGTCCGGGGGAAGACGGCAAAAACCCACGCAAGAGCGGAGGTGGCATTGGCGCTTCACACGCGGTTGCCTTGTACCAATTCTTCCGATACGCGGTGTGATGGTCGAAAAACAGCTGCCGCGGAATTTCTGCCAAAACTGCCGCTGTGGCCAGATCGTTGCGAAGACGGACGCCGTCCGCGCCCCGAGAAACACGCCTTTTCTTGCAAGCTGCTGCATGGCCGTGGGAATACCGCTAACAGAAACAATTATACCACCGATACAAACCCACACAGAGAAAGAGACAGACAAGAGAGCGCGTTCGCGCAGATTGTCCCGTTATAAGGCTCGACGTCTTTTTAATGGTCAACCGATGAGCGCCGTCGGTCCTAGTCAACCGAAACACACGCACCCCTTAGAATGTGTTCGTGGTTTAATCCCGCTACTAGACTGGCGCCATTTCATTGGTCAGCCGGCTAGCACGGTCGATACAAGTTCAGAACACACGCGACTATTTGCTACGGTATCTATCTTTAATCCGGAGAGTAGCATAGACTCCCCCATGACGCTCCCTCACGGGGTCCTAGATCGTGGCCATTTAGAAGCATACTGTGTTGCCAACCGCACTGAGACTGGCGTCTTTCCATTGGTCAGCCGGTTAGAGCCGTCGATGCTAACAAGAAACACATACACACACACACACACACGCACACCTGCAGCCACGGCGCGGTCGCAGCTTCCACTTTCTTGACGTGAGGCCGCATCGTCGACCGCAGCAAGAAGACGAGCGCCTCCAGGACGCCGAGAGCGCCCGCCGCCACCGCCGGGGGTGGGGGCAAGGAAGAGCCCCCGTCGGCGCTTGTGGAGCCCTCCAGACAGGCCGTGACGGCTGGAACGAGCTTCGGCAGAACGCCGATGACGGCCTTGCGGCGTGCCGCGGTGTAAGGGGAGGAAAACGTGGACGTGAAAGAAGGTTGAGAGGAATGCAGACGTGTGTGTATGGGAGGGACAGAGAGAGAGAGAGAGAGAGAGATTGAGAGAGATGTTTACATGGAGAGAAGTGAGACGAAAAAGAGAGGCTCTAACTCGTTTCCTATGGTGTGGTACGATTTTAACATCAACACACCCGATAACCATAAACCAGCAAGCCTTGAGGCAGGTTGTCAGTCCGGTTCACGCAGCTGTGTAAGCCCAAACGAATGTGCCAGTAGAGAACGGAAACAAAAAAAGAAAAAAGCCGGCGTCGCCGAGCCAGAGATAACCACTACCACAACAACACGACGAGCATGTTCACCAAGGTTACCTGTCGGCCAACCCCCTCCGCTTCCCCCCCGCCGCCAACCTTGTTTTTCCCCCCCCCCCCGCCGCCGCTGCCGCCGCCGCCGCCGCCTCCGCCTCCGCCCGAGGGCGCCGCTCTTCCCGCGTCGTGGAGCAGACGTCGCACGGCTTCGTCTACCGCGGCAAGGGCCACGGCACGGGTCGTACCATCGTTGGCGACATCATCATCATCACATCCGCCCGCCGCAGCTGCCCCGCCGCTAACCCCCCCGCCGCCGGGTGGTTGCTGTCGTTGCCGCATGAGGAGCAGCAGCTCGCGAACCAGGGAAGGGAACGAGGCCTCGAGCTCGCCGGAGGGGCAGCAGCCGACAAGGCTCAGAAGGTGGCTGGCGTGCGTCAGGCCCGAAAGCTCCGGCACCGAGCGCTGTTGCTGTTTCTCCCCACCACTCCTGTTCCGGCCACGACTGCTGTTGTTGCTACTGCTGTTGCCGCCGGTCTGTGGGTACGGGTGTTGGGATGAGAGTTTTCGGGAGTTGCAACACGCCAAGACGTTTACAATGTAGAGGGTCATCTTGTCGACACGGCGGTCATTCTGGTGTTCAACGCGATAGGTAAAAAAAAGCCTTCTCCTTGCGACATCTCTTGGGGGTTGTTTCTACACCCCACACGCCACGATCAGGGTAGCCGTGTGTTGATTTTGATTTCCCGATAGAGCTCGATAGTTCACGCGTGTGTGCGTGGTATTTCGCGTGAGAGTTTTTCTTCCAAGCACAACCTGTGTCCGACAGACAAAAAAAATGTAAGTAGGTTCAACAACACAAATAACGAGCTTTGGGGAAAAGTTTTTGCCTGTGAGGCTGATGAAGGTTCCCTCGAGATGGAAACAGAGAGGCGTATCTTGCGGTCGACGAATCCAGCCGGCGAACACATGTGGCCTCCTCCTAGGACAGTGTGCCCCGAAATCGTAATCTTCATCTCAACGTTCGTAGCGGCAGTGTGGGATATGCTTGGCAGAGGGCAACAAGCCATGAACGTACAGCAGTAAACATAAAAACAAGAGCAGTCGCTATCAGAAACAAATAACGGGCAGCGACAGTCAGTCCTCCGTCGCCCCCCCTGCCGATATCCCCCCCGCTCCTCGCACACACCTGCTGTTGGGTAGGCGCGATCACCTCTCGCCAGGCCCTTGCTTCTCTCACAGCCGCAAGCGGGCTCCGCGCGAAAGTCACCGCGGCCTCGAGGGCTTCCAAAGCGTCAACCGCGAAGTCCTGTGAAGTGGCATGCACGGTACGCGATAAATGAGCAACAATTCTCCGTGAGCGTGTGCATGGCTAAGTAAAGACACAGCAGCAGCATGAACGACGTCGCGGGCTGTGTGCTCCATTGCTATTCTGACAGTCCCGTCTTGTCTAAATCCTTATTGTTTGGGGTTTCACCGCAGTTGTCTCGGTCATCTATGGCGGCTGTGATGGGCCCTCGTGCTCTACTCCGTACCTCGGTCATGCGTGGAGGAAGGGCCTGGAACGCATTATCTCCATCCCCTTGGCTGTCGAAGCCGGGAGCGGCAGTGAGTACCCAGTCAGCCAACATTGCTGTAGAGGTAAACTGCGACTGATGCTGGCCAGCTAGTGTGCGCGCTGGTCCAGCCGCTCACACCGCGCTGGTGAATGATGTTGCGGAGCCCCCGGGCGGCGAATCGCGAAGTTCAGCAGCACCGAGCTTGTGTGCAGCAGGCAGTGCGCAGAACGCGAGACTGCCACGCTCACCGACGCAGAACATGGCGAAGGTGTCATTAAATCGCGCGGTCGCGGGCATGAACGCTTCCAGCGACAGGGCTGGTGGCGGCGTTCTCTCGAGGACACGAGAAGAAGCTGGTAACGGCGACGAGGAGGCTGCGGGATGGGATAAGGAGCGTATCGTCCTGTCCGACGACTTTACGGCAGTCAAGCTGCACCAGCTGGCCATCACCCTGAGGCCGCTGACCACCGGCGGGAGTGGGGGAAGACCAATGCTCACTGCGAGCCGTTGGGAAGTTCGAAAAGCGATCATGTCCCTATGTCGTAGTCAGCCGACTATGTTTGAGGTAAGCTCTAAATATTAATACCTACAACAGCTGTAGATCTACAGCAGTAGGTCCTCTACCTGCTGGGAACGTTTGCATCGCACCTGTATACGAAAAGGTTGGTCGCTGTCGACGATTTACCTCCCCACTCGGGGGCTTGGTTTCGGTAACCTTGTGTTCGGTGTGCCGCACGTCCAGACTTCAGGGGATTCGGGGAGAGAGAAGGAGGGCACCGCCGTGGCCTCTGCCTCACAGCACACAGCAGGAAGGCAGATCGGCCGCGGCCGCAGCAGCGCCGCATCTATCTTTCGTCGGATCCCCTACATATCCTCATCCTAACACTAATGACATGTAGCCAGACGACGAACGCACATGTAAACCCTACTAGTATACGATATGTTGGCAAGCCGTACAGGATTGTCTCTGGCTGGGTGGTACTACTACTGCTGTACCCACTCTTGTGTTTACGCGCGCTTCGACATCTTGCACCTCTGCTGTATGTCTGGCTCTTGTTGGACTGGACAGATCGAGGCGACCGACAAGTCGGCGTCGATCCGAGTAGCCTTCTCCGCGGCGGCGGACGCCGACGCCCTGTCCCGCTCGCTTCGAGGCGTTACCGTCAAGATCAAGGGCGTCAAGCTGCACGCGTTCGTCAGGGTGAGTGTTTGTTCGCAGCAGAAGTAAAAAGCATGTAGCTACTGTACCTGTGTCCTCACCCACGAGAAGTTTCTCCCCGGCGTGCCCCGTGGAGGTGCCAACAAGCCCACCCGACCGCCTCTTCGACCTTTCGCGAAGACGAGGGACTTACAGCCGTCGGAAACTTTCAAGAATCCTTCCGAAGTTGTTTTCTTGTCCTCCAGTCCAAACACTGGGTGTGCACACAGGAAGAGCGGTTTTTCACGAGAGACGAAACGAAATTTTCCATGTCCATATCCGGCGAAACGTCAACAACAAGCACCACGGTGTTTCGGTTCTAAGGAAGGACCAACGACAATGACAAACCAACATCATCAACAGCAGCAACAACAGTGAAGAAGCTGCATGCGCTTTTTTTTGGCGGTATAGGATGTTAAGGTGTACAGCATATCCACTATGTTGCAAGTTAGCGCTGTACACAAGTCAGCAATGACTTGTACCACAGTGAATATGCTGGCACGGTGGCTTAGAGGCTGTGTCATCGACGTTGGTCGAGGTGATGACGCGTGCGAGAGGGTAGCCTGGAAGACGAGAGTCCTTCCACTGCGTGAAGAAGATGTTGAGATGTTGGAACACTGGCGCTTGGCCAACACACACAGAGATAACCGCAGAGTATGCAAGATCTCAGACGATGGCTGCTGCCCAGAGATGACCAGTACAGCTATGATGCCATGACAACCCGGAAGGATCTCACGAGAGAGTGAGCTTCTCGGCTAGCAAGCAGAGAATCCAGGGGGAGTAATTCCTCCGCATACACATACGTACGTTACATTCGAACCGACACATGTGAGATCTACGGTATACAACAGCAGGGTTTTGCTTTTGTACTGAACATGGACTTGTACTGGCTTGTGCTAACATTTCCGTAACGCAGGAAGTGTCGGAGTCGGCGGCGCTGAGCGAGGGGGAAGACTGGGCCGCTTCCGCGTTGGGGTCCCGGGTGCTGTCAGCCGACACCGTCGCCGGAAGGGAGGCGGCGTTCGACAGCCTCGAGCCCGGGAAACGACCGGACACCATCGTCCTGAGAGGGATCCCGGCGAACTGGCTGGGGAGCAGGGGGAAAGCGGCGGAAGGGACAGAGGCCCCGGTAAGAAGAGTTTGGCGCCGGTGGCGGTCAAGGACAACCCGGCGGGTACGCACGCGCTAGAATCAAAGTACATATATTTTTTTTGTGCGACGGTCACAGCCACTCCCCGCTTGTCCAGACGGGATCGCGTGTCAAGACGCGAATTTCAAGTCCAAGATGGCCTTGTAGTGCGTCGTTCGCCGTTTCACATCTTACCGGTGACTGGCCGTCTTGATTCTTTGCTCTTTCGTTTTTTCTCACTACATATGGCCGCCGCATATTCCCTCTCCGTTCCCCCCCCCCCGACGGCGTCTCCTCTGGCACCCGTGCCCAACCCAACGTCCGACCTACTATCCAAAATGCCAGGGTCTCGAGGAAATCATGAGCAAATTTGGCCCCGTGCGGGCTGTGGAGGTCCAGCCCAGCGCTCCTAGTGACCCCTCCGTCGACAGCAGCGATGCCGCCGACGCGTTCGCCGGCGGCGGCGGCGGCGGCGGCGGCGGCCAGAGGAGCAGCAAGAAGAGCGGGAGACCCTCAGCCGACTTCGACGTCAACGCGCTGCTCGAGAACATGCCCAAGCCAAGGGCTCTGGCGAAGGACAAGGGCGGTGGCAGCAAGGGGTCAGGCAGCAGGCCAGGCGGCAGATCAGGCGGCAGCGGCAGCGCTGGTCTCGGGCTGGGCGGAGACATCCTCTCGGTGGGGCTGCACGTGGACGCGTGGGTGCAGTTCGCCTCGTTTCTGGGATTCCAGGGGGCGCTGGAGGCGCTGCGGGCGAAGACGCTGCAGAAGGCGGGCGCGGAGCTGGTGTGCGAGTACCGCCTTGGCGTGGACGCGTCGGGCTTCATGACGGAGGACCAGCGGCGGGAGAGGGTGATAGCCCGGGCGGAGAAGGCACGGGAGGTGAGAGCCCGATGGATAGAGACATGGGTTAAGGGTTAAGGGACAGAGGACCTAAGAGTGCAAAGTTTGCAGGCACAAGTGGGAGGGGGAGAGGGGGAGGCAGCTGCGCGCCTGTGCAGTCCTGGATGTTCCGTTTTTTTTGTGACTTTCAAAATCAAAAGACTTGAGGGAATATACGATGGACGGGTTGGCGCACGCACTGTTTGCGGTGGCGGTGGAGTTGTTCTTACCTTCGCATGAAAAGCTGTTCCGACCTCTACACATATTGAGTACCATTCAGGCACTCTTCAAACATCGCAACGAGATTCCGTGTTCCCAAGGCAACACACGACAGAGGTGTCATGCCTTTACAGTACACATGTGGAACGGAACGAAAGAAGGCCCTCCAGAGAGCCACTCCCATCCGCTCTCGAACAATCGCACGGCCGTGTGCAGAAAAAAGAAAAAGCAAAACCTTGAAGAGGAAGAAAGGAGGGTCTTGAGTCTTCAAGGCGAAACACATTGTTCCGGCTCGGAAGTCGAGCCACGGACAACGTGTACGACGGGAGTCTACCGTCATAGGCGGAGAGATGGCACCCCCTCCTAGACCGACTTTCAAAGCTCCATTGCTCCAGAACCAAGTGGGCGCGTAAAGAGCCCGATACGTCTGCGGAAAGCCCTCGAAAAGATGCTCCCAAAACAGCCATTTTTGGCGGTGGCACAATCTTGTTTGTGAAGCCTTCGAGGTTTGAAAATCGGCTCAGGGGGGGTGATGCCATCTCTCCGCCTCTTACGGTTTGTTCTTGTCCTTGTGTTGATATCCTATCTTATCCTATCCTGCAGGAAAGCAGGAACAGAGCTGTTCCAGTGCTCCCATGAAGCATAAAGCTGGGGGTTATACTTGGCCGTGGGGTCTGTTTAATTGTCGCCGACCAGGGCCAACCACCCTCCAAAGCTCGAGGGTGTTTGAACGGCTATACACATCTAGACGAGAAGATCGTTGAACGGACAGGACGAACACACGCACAGTAAGATGAAGAACAAGGAAAACCTCAATGTCTCTGTCTCTCCGTCTCTCTCTCTCTCTCCGTCGACGTGATACAGTGTCTTCTCCAGTAACCCTGTTAGTCGCTACTGTGAGCACTATCAAGTGGTAGTATTGTATTGATTGTCTAAATATTTTATGTTTTTGGGGGGTCGCGTTTCGCCACCTGCATTCGTTCACCTTGCAAAGGAATACAAATGCACGTGTCTGGCGGCATGATCTTGCTCGTGCAATGTGTCGCGGTACGTCAATACGAGAGAGGGGTTGACGACAGCCACAGCGACACCGACACCACGCGTTTACAACCGGTGCGTGCGCACGAACTCGCACATCAAACCAGCCTGCCTTCTGCATCCCGGCGCGAGCCATTCAACCTTTGTTGGTTGGAAAAAAACGCCCCGCTCCCAGTGGCAGTCGTGGGGTAGCATTTCATCGGAACTCGCGCGGCGGCGCCGTCGTTTCGCACCCATTAACAGGAGGACCGGCGCAAGGCTTCGATCGAGAAGGCGAGGGGCCAGCTCGCCCTCCTGCGGGAAGGGCTGCAGGGCCTCCGAGACGCGGTGGCAGAGGACGGCCGACCAGCTTTGGAAGACGCCACCAAGCCCACGCTGCAGAAGGTGCGTCTGTCTTTCGTGCGTGTGTTTTCTTAATCCGCATCGACCGCGCTTTACCGGTTGACCAATGAACAAAACGTCGAAGGGTTCGACGGGGAGGACGCAGAAAGCTGTGTCCTGCTTCCTTTTGTGTAAGTGTGTTTGTGCGCGTACACACGTGTGGTGCTGTTGTCGTTGCTGCTGCTGCTGCTGCTGCTGCTGCTGCTGCTGCTGCTGCTGCTGCTGCTGCCGTTGTTATTACTGTTGTTTTCGTCGTGGCTGACTTTTGTGAAAAGGATCCACCTCGGAAACCGAAAGGCTGTTCTTACACCCGAACAATGTGCCGGAGCTGTTGGGGGTGATACTGGCCGTTTTTTGGGTACGTTTAAATATGAAACGCCGTACTGCACGGGTGGTCGTCATTTACTGGTACTTAATTAAGGCTGCGGCAAAAGACGACCGCATTTTGTATGTCCCCGTCTCCCATGCAAACTCCAACCGTCGTTGTTGCTGCTGCTGTCGGTTGCTGTAAGACTCATACAATGTAAGGGGGTGGGTGCGTTCGTCGTTAGGGTGATCCGATGGCAGACAAGGTGGAGACAGACAGGTAGACAGGTGGCAGAGAGGATGGATTCAGTTTCGCGCCCTTGTGCGGCGGTCGGTCTGTCTACCCGCTCGAGAGACAGGCGCGCTTGAGAAAGACCCTCTCCACGCGCATGCGGTACAGCAGCACGGCGGTTACACAAACGAAAGCCTTTGTAGCCAGCATTCCGACACGTTATCAGCGGTTGCAATCGTTTCCGGAGCCGTTGTCGTCGAAAAAATGCCTTACGGGTTAGAAACCCTACTTCTCCGTTGTATCTGTCAAATACTGCGCCCCCAAAACTGGAAATTTAATAGTACTGTACCAAATCTATTCACACCCAACAATATAGTCAAATGTAAATATTCACCACTTCTGCTGCTGCCGCTTGTTCTTACTGTCTGTTTTTCTTTCCTTCTGGACTCGGCCGACGGTATAAGCGTGCGCCCGAAAATCCCGTCCACATGCCCCCCCCCCCCCCCCCCCCCCCCCAGGGAAGGGGCACGGGGAGGGGGC